GATAGCATCTAATTAAGAATATTCTATACCTATTTGTAATCAGATAACAAGGAATAAAAGTTTGTTTTAAAAACTTTGATGATTCAATTAGGTCTACAGTACATATGGGAAATGATAGTAAGGTACAAGTGGAAGTGGAAGGAAAATGAACAATTACTGTGAACACTAAATCTAATAAAAAATTTATTGATGATGTGATATTTATTTCTGATTTAAACAAAATCTAATTAGTATAGGGTAATGAATCGACATTATGACGTAAAAACTATGATCATGCGATGAATTTTTATGGGTCTATGCAAACTATCTCACATGACGATCATGCGATGAAATGCCATGACATAGATAGTGATAATTGAGGAAATATAACTAATGTGACGTATACACACAAAAATGATAAGACCATAAACTCCAATGTTAATAAACTTGCAACCAAAAAGCCACACAAAGAAGAAAAGTTGACATTCTCTGAAGAGACCAAGGATAACAAGAAAGGTGCAACTAATGACCCTATCTTTGTTATGTTGGGTTTTGATAAGGATTCAAGAAAAAAAGAAAGAAAACACTTATCATGATGAACGAAGCATAAAATCATTGAGCATCAATGAATTCCTAAAGTCAACTAAAAAAATTCTTAGATAAAAGATTATGACATAGTTATGAGTAGGTAAAAGATTTTAAGTTATATTATTATATTGGACTGGTCTTGCATATGATAGAAAAAATACTTTAGGATTTGTACTCAATCTTAGGTCAAGTGTGATTTCATGGATAATAAAAAAATAAGGATGTATTGCTCTCTCAAGCTCTAAAACGAAGTATGTTGCGACTACAAGTATAACATGTCAAATAGTTTGGCTTCAAAAAATTCTAACAGTTCTCCAAGAAAAATAAAATTTGGACCAACTAAAATCTATTGCGACAAGTCTACTATTGCAATGACGAAGAATCCCATCCTCCACGAGTACACTAAACATATTGAAGTTTGATATCATTTCATTCGTGAACCTATTAATAAAGAAAAAAATTAAATAAACTATTACAACATCAAAAATCCACTTATCGATATCTTTACAAAAGTTTTGATGAAAGACATTATTTTTCTTAGAAGATATCTTCAAGTTACAATTATTTTGAATTAAGAATGTATACTTTTGTTAAAGACAAATTATGTTTCTTTGGAAGACATCTTCAAGTTACAATTATTTTGAATTAAGAAGGTATGAAAAATTAATTTAAATAATAAAGATTAAATAAAATAAAAATAAAATTTTAGATTAAAATATATAAATAAAGAATGAAAAAAATTATTGGAATATGATACATTATTTTTATGATCAATATAAATAGGTGCTCTTAAAAATCCATAATAAAATCAACCATGCACACGAACTACTAGAAAGTTCTTAAGATATTCTCAAGCTTTATAAAACATTGTTGTCGAATCAGTATCCAACTTACACAGCTATCGCTGCGTCAGGAATGTATGTTTACTAGCTTCGTATTGGTGGCGAACTTCACATCGGACATGATCCACAATGGATTACGGGGTAGTCTCCCACCAGTATATGGTAAGGCCATCCCTTACAAAAAGAACATACTAGACTGTCAATTTGCGGAAGATCCAAGTATATATATATAGTTCATACTGGAGACCAGCATGATAGATCTGGTTCACCAACCAAAAAGCTCCCAGTTTCTGTCACTCGGTTAAGCCACCTGTAAATCGTGAGCCCATATGCTCATTAGCGATGCGCGAGAAGCCAATGCTTGTTCTCATCTTGAAACTACTAGTAGCTGCTACATCAGCATGAGTCTCCATATATTCCTCATGTACA